GGCGGGAGAGCTGCCGACACGCTCGGGCCGTGCCAGAGAAAGGCTTCTGTTGTTCTCACCCCCTTGTCAGGAGGCAACCAATGACCAGTGAAACTTTGATCTCGCGCCCCGATTCTGTTCCCCCAACCTCTGGGGGCACCCAGGGCGCAGCGGAGGTGCGGGCAGCTGCCGGCCTCAGAGATGCTCACAGCTAAAGCCTCCGCCGTGATGCCGACAGACTCCTGAGACCTGTCTGTAATCCTCAGGCAGCTCTGTAGGAATGAGATTTTTTTTCTAGACAATAGCTTTTAGTTTAAACTAGGATTAAAAGATTTTAGGGCAGAAGAAGCTGTAGCTGTATCCTTGGAGGGGGTGTAATGCCGAGCGGCTCCTCTGGCACAGAGCTCCTGGTTGCACCGAGATTCCCACCTGCAGGTGCCGTGATTCCTTGTGTATTTGCAGTTTAACCTTTGAGTTTCGCAGGAGACGACGAGCTTGTGGTATGAGCACAGAATACATACCCTGTCAGCATCAATAATATTTTGTCTGTTAACATACCACACGTATTTTTGTTTCATGCAATATTTATACTGAATTGTTTTAAGTAATTTGCAGAATTAGGTAGTTACTGCTTTGACTCATTTTATGTTTACAGACAGTCCACTGTCAGGTTTTGTTTCCATGGAGCAGGCTCCTCGCACTTTCTTGGTTCAGGATAGTTCAGACATGAGACGTGTCTCTCTCTGAGAGTGAACAGGGAACCAGCTCTGTCGTTCAAAACACACTCCCTTTCTCATACGTGCAGTCAGTACTTTGGTATGCAGCAGCTTCGCAGTTTTAAGTTCTTACGTCACTTTCTCATCTCAGCAGTGTTGTGGGTAATTCCTATTTTGAATTTTGATATATAAGAGTTGACTGTTATTGCAGAAGCTGCTGGAAAAAAGTGTCATCCCATTTTAAGTTGTGTGGGTCTGGGTCTGATCCAGCCTCTAGTGCTCCTTAGACCTCTCTCCAGGGCAGCAGTGCATCCCTTTCCTTGGCTGGTGGGGGCACTCCGTCTCACACAGGTTTTCTCCTGACCCAAAGGTCTTTCCAAGTGCCTGGTTAAGTTTTGTTTTTGCTAGATTTGCACTGACAAAGAGGTGCAAAACAAGTTGAACTGGGTCCCAGAACCAAACAGAAAAAGAGAAAGAAGTCTGGAGATGAGGAAGGAACACGGGCAGCCAACTTCAAACCTAGAGCTATTTTTGTTCTCTAAGCCAATGTGAGTCCAGGTACCTAAAAACTCCCAATGATCCCCTCCGCAGTTCCTGGTATCTGGGAACATCTTGTGCATCCCTCTAAACACTTGACCTTTTGTCTCTTGTTGCCTGACTTCTTCCTTCCACTCTGGACTTACAGAACATCAATGTAAGGTATTTGTGCATTAAGGGCTGATTCTGTCTCCATTCGCTCTAAGTCTGAGTGGAGGTACTTGGAAGAAAAACACACTTAACATCGTGTTAAAATCAAGGGAGGAGAAAATTTGGACATTGCTGTCTACACATAACAGGAGTTTAAGTACATGCTGCAATACGTGGCAGACCACAAGTCTTCATAATTCGGGTTTGTACCTCTGGCTGTGGCTATCAGCAGATCAGAGAAGGTGATACATGGCATTTGGTAGTGAGGGAGGTGCTTAAGCGTCTAAAATAACGTTCTACAGTGTCTTCTGCCTTTGCTTGCAGGCGAAACATGCCACCATTCAACCTTACCAGCTTGACCCCAGCAACATTCATCCTGGCTGGCATCCCAGGCATGGAGAAGTTGCATATCTGGATCTCGATCCCGTTCTGCTCCATGTATCTGGCTGCCCTGCTAGGAAATGGTGTCGTGTTGTTTGTCATAAGGACAGAACGTAGCCTACACCATCCCATGTACCTCTTCTTGTCCATGCTGGCCATCGCTGACCTGATGCTGTCGACCACGACCGTGCCCAAGATGCTGGCCCTGTTCTGGTTCAGGGCGGGGGAGATTTCCTTCGGCGCCTGCCTGACCCAGATGTTCTTCCTGCACTTCAGCTTCTCGGCAGAGTCGGTGATCCTGCTGGCCATGGCGTTGGATCGCTTTGTCGCCATCTGTTACCCCTTGCGGTATGCGGCAGTGATGACCCAGTCAGCCGTTGCCAAAACCGGGCTGGTGGCTCTACTGAGAAGTTTCTGCATCATTTTCCCGTGTGTATTTCTTCTGAAAAGGCTGCCCTACTGCGGGCACAACGTCATCCCGCACACCTACTGCGAGCACATGGGCATCGCCCGGCTGGCCTGTGCCGACATCTCCATCAATGTCTTGTACGGCCTGGCAGTGCCTTTTGCAGCAATAGTGGTAGATGTTGTACTCATCGCTGTCTCCTATGTCTTAATTCTTCTGGCATTACTCAAACTCCCTTCCAGGACTGCCCGTCAAAAGGCTTTCAACACCTGCAGCTCTCATGTCTGTGTTATCTTACTTTTCTATATTCCTGCTTTTTTCACTGTTTTAACACACCGCTTTGGTCAGGAAATCCCTCACCACGTCCACATTCTCCTGGCCAACCTTTACGTGCTCTTTCCCCCGTTGCTGAACCCTGTGGTGTACGGTGTGCGGACACAACAGATAAAAGAGAAGGTTGTGAAAGTGTTCATCTGCCCCAAGACTCGTTTGCTGCGAGAATGAGAGTGAGATGTTGCTATCAGAAAGCGATGAACACCTTGGTGGGACTCCACACTCACCACCCCAAGTGCTCTCCACACTTTCAGGCAACACGCCCAAGTCTTCTGCAGTCAGAGTCAACTACAGAACACAACATCCCTGCACCACTTACCCCAACAGTTTGTAGAAAATGTAAGACAAAAGACAAAAGTCATTGTCTCTAATTGGCTGTGTAAGGAGAGTGATCAAAGAAATGAGAACTTCTCCCAGATGTGTCACTTGTGGGAAATCCCCTACGAGGTGGAGGCGGGTGGCTTGCGCTGCAGTGTGGCAATAAATCTACATCTCGGCAGTTTTCTCTGGAGTCAGCTGAAAAGACATGTAGTGAACTGGTTCTTCTGAACGCAGGTGTACAATGGAGCTCATTTCAGGAGTTGCTTCCTTATTAAAATTCATAGCTCTGAAAAAGTCTCCAAAAGGAATGACATGGAAATAAAAACAAGTGTTGCATGCTAGCATTCGTGGAGTCTTTTCATTTATTTATTGGAACCAGATGATGTTTAAGGTCCCTTCCAAGCCAAACCATTCTATAATTCTATGATTCTGTGATTCCTTAACTATATTATTTGACCACACTTTGAGTAAACATGTAGGTGAAAAACTGTTTCAAAAAGAACATCTGAAAATGTAATAGAGATTAACTAAGCATTGAAACAAATTATTGTTACCAAATCCTAAAAATATTCTTGCCCTGGGGTGGCTGTTTTCCTGGGGTACCTGGCCAAGAGCTTAAAAGTCTCTTGGGCGTCACTTTGCAACGGGATCTGGAGGAATCAGAGCAACGTGTTCCCAGAGCGGAGCTGCAGGCTCGGGCAGGGGCTGCAGAGCCCCTCGCAGCAACCTAATGCACTGAGTTGTACGACATCACATTTGCTGTCAGCTCTTTTGCTGCTGAAATGCCCTTTTCATTTGAGTTCCTATATCTAAAAATAGCAAAAAAAATATTTAATGCCATTCTAAGGTGGAACACAATAGTTTTCTTCCAGCAGTTCGAGTTAATATCTTGTTACTCGGAGACAACGCATGGGATTGTTATTTAATGAAGAAATTATTAATAAAACCCACCACCCATGTCACTTGTTTGAAGAGAGCTGTTAGGAATCAGAAAGCTGACGCTGTGCCCCCAAGCCCGAGGAGGTTCCAGTGGCAGGTGCCTGTATAATTTATTGTGATCTCTGCAGCAGCGCCTGTTTAATTCATCATTATCGTCCATTTAATGGCAGCAGCTGAATGTGCAGCAGCAATCTGGGCCCCTGTCGCCCAGACTGCGGCACAGCTGCCTGACAAGAGACCCCGAGGGTCTGCGGACCCTACGAAGCTGCCGGTTTCTGAAGACAGAGGGAAGAACTGTGTTGTTTATCCTCATTTTGAGCAGCAGAGAGAGGTTAAGTGATTTCCCTAGGGTCTGTCAAGCCTCCCTTCAGAAAGCTGAACTGGATTAAGGTCTTTCATGGTAAGGTCCCTTTCTCTAAACTGGTGCTGCTCGCGTCCCTCGGCTCGCCCTCCCATCCCCCCCGCCGATGCCGCTGCGCCAGGGAGGTGCCTGGCACTGTTGCCCACAGCACGACCTCCACGGGCAGGGGGTGCAAAACAGATCTGTACGCCCAAGTCCTGTTTTTGGGTTTAGCCACGTTTGTGCTCAAATGAGAACATGACACCTGGACTGCATCACAAAAAGACGTGAAAGGTGTGTGCAAAACTCTCCCGGAAAACCTTTGCCTCCCGCAGCCCAGTGCCATCCCTCTGGTGAGACACCAGTGCTGACCTTCCCAGCAGCACTGAGCTGCATCTTCCTGAGAAAACAGCGTGTCTGATGGTGGTGTGCCAAATTCTTTGGGGCCAAACCTCACCTTGCCTTTTTTTGTCACTTGCTATATAAATATTTCTTTCTTTTTTTTTAAAACTTGCAAATGCCTTTAGCTTGAGACTGATAATGATTACAAGCTTAAATACTCATAAAGATGTTTTCCTGAAGAAGCAGTCTCATTCAAGCATTGCTTAAGATGCAGGAAGAATAATTTTGCAACCTTTAATCTTCTAGTAATACACAGGGCTGATTGCACAAAGTGTGCTGCAAATTGGAAATTTGAAAGGGCAGAGTCGGGCTCGTTCCGAAGGGAGCCTGGCAGCCTGCAGCGAAGGCTGCGGTCCCCATGGCTTGCGAGGGAGATATTTTGTTTTGCTGCTCGAGCATCTTCCACTGTGCTGAGAGCACAGAAATATTTCAGGACACCTTTCAGCCCTTACTGCCACTGGTTCACTGGAAATGGGGGGGAGAATGATGATGTGTGACTCCATGAGCATCCCCATCTCCTGGATGGGGTGTGGGTGGAGGCAGGCGATCTGGAGCTGTGTGTGACTGCCACTAGCCAGACTTCCAAGGAAAGCTTGGTTAGAAACACACCAGGCTCTGGTTTTGACAGATGAGGCCACGTTGTTCTTCTGGATATCTTTAGGATACGTATCCTGGTGTAATGCAACACCCCTGGCTGATTGAAAGAACTGGAGGTTGCCCAAGGAATTGCAGTAGGGGTTGGAAGGGGAAAAGGAGACAAAATATAAAATACTGGCAGGATTCAGACATGGCTGTGAAGTGCACGGGCATGGGCAGGAGGCTGAGGATGGGATCACGGGGTGGTGAGAGCCCTGCCTTCCGAAACAGTTCTTAGATCCTCTGATGGTGTTTGCTCAGGCCAGCACGCCGATGCCTGCAAGGCTGTCCGATGAGTGGTGCATCACACGGGCCCTGCAGGACTGCGTCCGTTCCAGCTTCAGATCCGGAGCAGAAACCCTGGGAACGGACAACCCGGTTTTGGTTCTCTCTGGCGTGGCCAGGACGGGGCACAGCTCATGTGGGGTTGAAAGCCACGGCCAACGGTGCCTGAGCAGCTCTCATGACCTCAAGGGTCATGCTCACACCAGCAGCGTTAGGGATGACACAGGAGGAATGTTGGTCCTGGAGCGAGCAAGTGCTGGGCACCATCTCCCAGAGCGGAGCCGAGCCCGCCCTTAGCAGCTGACCAGATCTCGTCCCGGCTTCGGAGGCCCTGCAGATGATCCAGACAGAGCGTCTGCAAACACCAGCTCCATGCTGAGCATTTGTTTGGTTTGCAGATCACACACTTGGAGTGTTTGCTTCCATTGCTCTTGCCAATGAAGTATTTTTATGGTCAGTTTCTGCTAATATTCGTTTCCTGTCAACAAAAGCATGACATTTATTGCTGGTACAGCATAAGCCAAAGCTTTCTCCTGTATTTGAGAACACTGACATTAATTTTTTGCTGGCACCTGTGGTACATAATCTATTGCTTTCAATTTCGGCAGTACGAAGACAGCTGTGGACAATTTAGTTTTGCTTCACAGTTATGGCACCTCCCAGAATCTGCTGCCATCAGTTCGACCTGTGTCCTGGCCCTCCTTTCTCAGCAATACCTGCAGGTTACCTCTTACATTATGCTCAAGTTCTCTGCATAGTTCCTCTCTCCAAAAGGCCCTTTTGTGTCTGTTTCTTGACTTTTTGAGTAAACGTTACTTTGACTTTGGTGGGACCTAGATGCTCACTTTATTTCTTAACTTTACTTGTGTTATTCACATTGTTACACGTGTATTTCTTGTATAAGACTATTCATGAGCAATATGCCGTAACGTTAACACTTTCATCCAGCTCTTCCCTGTTGCTGGGGTTGGGACCAGGAAGACCAGTGGTGGGGAGGTTACTTCCCCTCTGGTCGGCTCTGGTGAGGCCACACCTGGAGTGCTGTTTTCAGTGCTTCCCAGTGTGCAAGAGACATGGACATACTGGACCGAGTCCAGCAAAGGGCCACCAACAAGATGAAGGGACTGGTGCATCTCTCCTGTGAGGAGAGGCTGGGAGAGTTGGAACTGTTCAGCCTGGGGAGGATAAGGCTTGGGGCGGATCTTATCAATGTATATAAATACCTGATAGGAGGGAATGAAGATGAAGATGAGAGCACCAGACTCTTTCCAGTGTGCCCAATGATACAACAGGAGGCACAAACTGAAGTACAGGAAAATCCTTTTAGATACAAGAAAGCACTTCTTTTTTTTTTTTTTTTTTTTACTGTGAAGGTTGTCAAATGCCGGCACAGGTTGCCCAGGGAGGTTGTGGGGCCTCCGTCCTTGGAGATATTCAGAAACTGCCTGGACATGGTCCTGGGCAACTGCTCTGGGTGGCCTGGCTTGGACAGGGAATTGGCCCAGATGACCTCCAGAGACCCCTGCCAGCCGCAGCGAGTCTGTGATGCTGTGATGCACTTGCCTCTGACACCCTCAGAGTGGATCAGACCACTGGCAGTCTATATATACAACGCAGAAAAGATGAAAACCACACCTAATGTAAATTGATTTAGATCCTCAAAAGTCTCTGAAGGCACCTCAACTCTTGGCTGTTGAAGAATAATGGCTAAAAAGCCTTTAAACTGCACCTGCTGTGCTGCCTAGGTCTCGCTTCACTGCACAGAAATGCTTTTTTTCTGAAAAGTTTTACAGCACGAGGAAGAGTCGGTGCTGAACAAGCGGTTGAGAAACCATCTAAATCCAGCAGCGGCTCCACCTTAAGCCTCATCTGCTGCAGTGAAAACGGCCCCAAACTCTTGTTTTAGCACTTAATATCTTGCTTCTCTGTTGGTGCAGGTCTTGACATTCCTTGTTTGGCTACGTATCCCAGATTTCAGCAAGCAATTTAAAAAGAAACTCTCTCAGTTCCAAGACCAATCAAGCCTCGCTTGGCTCCTAACCTTGAAAATTGCTGTGAAGAAGATCCAGCACAGTCGCCAAAGCTGCCAGGGAGAAGGAAACAAGCGCTACAACACTCAGCACATGGCATGTTTACAGCATTGTCACCAGGTCCCACAGAGATGAAGCATTTTTTTCTTTTTCTTTTTTTCTTTTTTTTTTTTTTTTTCCCAGGAATCACTGATTATATATAGTTTTGAGGTAAAAAC